TAAAAAATATAATTACTTTTCTTTTAGAAAGCTATTCCTTTATTGATAATTACTTGAAAAAACTAATCAACGAAAAAGAGTCAAAAACCAGTCCGTGGAAATTTGACGATGAAGGTGCTTTCATTGCATTCGAGTTAATTTTCAGAAAATCGATGCAAAGTAAAACATATATATATACAGACTGATAGAAAACTCTGAACACTTTCAGAATATAAAATTATTTTTTTTATAAATCATTTTTTATTGTGACAATATATTTGAAAAACAGACTATAGCTTTTTTTTTCCAGATATATATATTCACTACAGATGATCGATTGCCAAGCCCGACAGCTTTGAATAATATTAATTAGTTTAATTTTATTGTTATAAAAAAATTCATATGATAATATTTGTCATGATTTTCTATACAATTCTATTCAGTGGTTCTATATTATATTATGCTCATCAACATACATGTTATATTACTATTAGCTGTCGTTCATATCATTATTAATATCTATGCTCGTACATATATGAAAATAAAGTAAAAAAATAAAAATTTGCACATATTGTTTATATACTGTCATTAGTACCTATGCAAATCCTAAGTACGAGAAATACTATTCTACTAATTTATTAAATAAAATTTAGCCTTGTTATACTGAAAAAAACTTATTTTTATTCTCAGATACATGATCAATACATACCTTCTTTTTTTCCGTCGATTCAATTACTATATTAGCGCAATATGTACATTGATTTAATCGTTCAGTAAGATACCGGAACACCATTCTGTCTCTTGACGAACTTTAACATATACTGTTGAGTTTTGCTTAAACATAGATTGACATCTACGCTACGATACTTTTGTTGCATGAAATAGTAAAACGTGATATATAGACTAGTCAGAGTTGGCGAATTTTAAAATGATCTAAGCACTATTATTACTTACATGCCTCTTCTCATAACTAGGGAAACATGGCAAAAGATCTCTGACCACCTTGCCCTCATGGGTATAAAATCGCGTTCAATAATCTTTACTGTTCTTCGTCCCACTCTCGGTCACCAGGACTGACGGGGGTGAGGGAGCTACAAAAATCTCGATTCACATATCCACTCACGATTATTTTCTTTGAAAAAAGATCTGAGCTCCACAAAAAACATACAATTTTCAATCTCAATCAACAACTCAAATATAATTTATTTCTTTTTTTTTCACATAATAATAAAATTCCCTACTTTCTAATGTATCTTTATCAAACACTATTGGATTGATTCCAAAAAGAGCTTTATCCTCAAATCTTGTTGTTGTAACATATTCTTTTGTTCGAACCGAGTCCAGTACATCTGATGATGCTTTTGCATCTGGATGAACAAATGCAACTATTATCTTTTTTGCAATTAATCTTGTAGTAATTGGTGGAGTGAATAAAAGTTGAATTACACGTGAATTTGGTGTAGTAATACTCATCTTTTCATAAACACCATCTATAATGTTTCTCCATAGTTGAATATATCGTGAATCATTTAAAATAATACTTGTTAAAAGTTCTTTAGCATAATAAAATCTGTTCTTTTTCCGAGAACAGATAGTGCACATCGACTCTAAAAAAGCTTAATTGAAAATTTTCACCAGGATCAGTTGACGGTGCGAATGAAGTTCTTTCGATTATTTTATCACTTTCACTTGATATATCTAATTAACATAATAAAATAGGATAAATTAATATGAAAAATAACAAGAAAATAAAAAAACTGTTCTATTTATTCTTATTATTAATTAAAAAGTGGTTTTCAAGGAGATAAGCAAATGATAAATGTTTAGTTGTATACGAAGTAAAGTATTTTAACCATCTCTAACCACCATTAATTTGAAAAAGTATTCTCAATATGTTGTCCTTAGAAATCGTAAAACGGAATAATAATTGCAAGAATATCTTAAAAATTGGTCGATGAATTAGCAATGCTTTTTTGTTCAAATAAATAATACATCAGTGGTACAGGAGTATTTGATATTTAAAAAAAATAATTAGATTAAATAGAAGTTTTGAGACAGTTATAATAAGGTCAAAAATGATTTCTATTAAATTATTGATGCTATTCAATGATCACTGTGCGTATTATTCTGTGAAAATGTGAACTTTTCAAAATTTTCAAATAACGAATAGGTATTCATAATATATCAATTTAAAAAACAAAAATGGAACTTAAATTTTTTCTTTTAAACAGTTCTCCTAATTTTGAATATAGTTTGAAATACTATTTAAAAAAGTCTTTCTGTTTTAAGTAATGAGTCTGTGAATCAATGCAATATAATGAGAATGTTATCTCGTATCAACAAAATCATTACTTTAGACTAGAAGGACAATTATATTGACAATAAGAAAATCTATGTATAGAAAAACTAAAATATAGATATCGTAATTCGATCTTATTTTGGTTCTTCATATATATATATATAGACCGGACATTTGCTTATGCCAGTAAAACTTAAATAGAGACAGCCTGGTCCATGAGTCTTGATGTTTTCCGAATTCTTATGAAATCCTAGAAGTTTTTGAAGTCATACAAAGTTTTGACATCTCAGGGCCATTTTTTACTGATATCTGTAATGGTAATAGGATGACATATATATATCCACAAGTTGTTCAAAAGTGACTAACAACTGATTTATGGTCAAAATTTAAGAACGCCTAAAAATATCATGATGAATATTAAGGTTGAACAGTAAAAGAAAGTTCATATTTAGAAATAGACAGTTTACTAGGTTCTATTGCATCGTTATGCATATCAGAAACAAATTTTTGTACAACATTATTGGATGTTATTGTTGTTGAATCAAGTTGAACAGCAGATGATAAGATATTATTAATTTCAGATAGTTGATCATCATTGATTGTATTAAGTTCATCACGAGATGTTTCAGACATATTGAGAACGATTTTGAAGATAATTAAGAATAGTTGATATAAACAAACTAGTAATGACAATAGCAGTATTCAAATAGAAATCTGAAATAAATTACATTGAGGTATTTGTTTCCATTGAAAAAGTATCCGTTGATACTTTCTTCTAAATCATATAGTATCTCAAAGTGCTATAGCAAAGAACTGATAAAAAAAACAGACAAACCTTTTGTAGTAAACTGCATATAATATTTATCTGTTTATTTTACTTTTATTAAAATAAAGTTTCATGCAAAGGATGGGGCTGTGGTACACTCTTCATTTACAGAATGCAAAAGATTTTATAAAGAACTAGTGCAAAGGTTAGATATTGCTACAATGTAATTCTCAAAATTTCCTGCTTTCAGTCGATCAAAATAAGTTAATAGCATCAATATTCCATGTTAGTGCTAAACATTATACGTTGTAAATATGAGCTTTCTGAAAATGCCATTTTCACAAAGTGTATTAATTAATTAATGTGCTATCTGACGAAAAAAATGTTACTAGAATCACCAATTGACTACATGATGCACTACCAGGGGTGACACCCGGTTCACAACGTCACATCAGAAGAGAAATACGACAGAAATAACATATATCAGGTTTTCTAAAAAAGTGTATATTTCATTTTTTTCTAACACGAGTTTCATGCTCAAGATGTCGTTACATCACAACTAATGAAGTAGTTTCACATGAGTATGGGTGTGGGTGTGTGGGTGCGGCTGTGGCTGTGGCTGTCGGTGTGGCTGTGCCTATGCCTGTGCCTGTGGGTGGGTGTTTGTGTGTGTGGATGTGGATGCGGGTGTGAGTGTGGGTGTCGGAGTGGATGTATGAGTGTGGGTGTGTGGATGTGAGTGTGTGGGTGGGGTGTGGGTGTCGGTGCGGATGTGGATGTGGGTGGCGTGTGAGTGTTGGTGTGGCTGTAGGTGTGGGTGTGCTTGTGCATGCGTCGTCACTTAAGTTGAACTGCCATTCACATCCATAGGCATACTCATACCCATACCGATACGGACACCCACACCCACACCCAGTTTCGCTCCTGCTCATGTTAAATAGATAATAAAAATGGTAAGATAGCCATCGTTTGTTTTTTTTTTCACTGGGAAAAACCCAGAGCAAAAAATGGAGAATGCATACGGCAAGCACGTCTTATACATAAAATGATATGCATATTAGTGTATATAAAAAAAGAATACGCCAAATAAAAGTCACACTTGATTGATTGATTGAGATAAAGATTTTACGTCGCCAAAAAAACGAAAAATTAGCAACAAGCATAAATACGAAGTAATGTTAGTTGCAGACTCACATTGCAAAATAAACAAAGCTTGATATCGGCTGGTAAGTAGTCTTATTCCACTGTGGATAGTTTGACAGTAGCGATATATTTTATTTATTCAGTACATCAGTATAGATACGAATTATAGCAAAAGTAACGGAAGATAAATATGAATTCTTATACTAGTTGAGATGAAGATATGGAAAAGTAGCTCACATAGAAAACTTAAATTGGTATTGAAAATCGAAATCTATATAATGAGATTAATGTCATCCATTGAAAATAAAGACCTTCAGAAGAAGAAATTAAATTTATATACCTATCATTAGATGATGCTAGCGAATTCACCTCCTAATTGTCACTTTTCTTTATTTTTCTTTTTCTCTTTCTTCTTATTAGATCTATATGATGTTGTATAAACGCGATCACTTTGTATTCTTTTTGTCCTTAAGTTTAACCCTTGATCTAGGTAGCATATTGTCCCAAAAGTCCCCGAGGAAAGTTTTCGTAAATATCTCTTATACAATTCAAGCAATTTAATCGATTTTTTTACAACATGATAGAATATTGTTTTAAGTTTTATTTCATATAATTTGGTTTACAGCAAATGTCAAAATGATTACCATCAACTGAAATACATAAATCCATCCGTTTTGCAATATTTGAAAAAACATTACACAAAGTTTCTTTTGAGATTGATTTAATTTCTTTATCGATTCTCATTTTTAATTCAGCCATATCTTTGATAGGAGTTTTGTAGACATTTTTCTTTAAGTGATCCCAAAGGAAAAAGTCGAGAGGTGTTAAATCTGGTGAACGTGAAGCCCATCGAATTGTACCACCTCTTCCAATCCACCTGCCAGGAAAATTATTATCCAAATAATCGTCGTACATTGATGAATAAATGAGGACGAGCTCCATCCTGCTGAAATATAATAGAACGAAACTTGTGTAATTTTTTAACTTCTAGAATAAGGAATGTTTGAAGCATTAATAAATAATTTTCTCCATTAGCAGTATCATATTCGAAGAAATATCGCCCCACTAATTGATTTTTGACATAGCACACCAAACGTTGACTTTAGGAGATTGCATAACGGTTTCAATGGTAACATGTGGATTAGTTTCACACCAATATCTGACATTATGTTTATTGACTAATTCATTCAAATAAAAGGTTGCTTCGTCCGAAGAAAATAAATTTTGTTGAATATGATTATCTTCTAACATCGGTGTCAGAGTTTTACACATCTCAACTCTGTCTTGCATATCTTCTTCAAAAAGTTGTTGTACAAATTGCGCCTTGTAGGGTTTCAATGAAAGATGTTCAGTCATAATTCGATGTGCCGTTGTTCGGGAAGTAGAACAGGCTCTTGCAACAGACCGAACACTCGATTGTGGTTGACTTTCAAAAACAGCACTAACTTCATCAATCTTTTCTTCTGTAATTTTTGACGGTCTTCCAGAACGTTCACGATCTTCAACTGTACCAGTTTCACAAAAGCGTTGAAATGTATCCCTAATACAAGTTTCACCTGATGTGTTTTTGCCAAACTCGGCCCACAATTTTCGTTTGACAACTACAGCTGAATCAAATTTGACCATTAACAAAACTATTTTTATTCTAATTTTTATAGGTACAGACATTTATCTGAAAGTACATAGAGCAAAACTTAAGAGAATATACTACAATATTATAAAGAAGAAATATAAATTGTTTAAGTTATATAAGAGATATTTACGAAAACTTTCCTCGGGGACTTTTCGGACACCCTGTATATATAGTACTGGACAACATTTTTTGGACGATTTTGTTTTAAGTATAACTATGTGTTTAATTTAACTTTTCAGGCACAGCTTTCGCGAAGATTTCAAACATCGCCTGTATCATATTCACAGAAAATTTCACCCCTAAATATTGAGTTATCATGGAACTGAACATATAACAGTGAGTAGGTGTCACTTTCTGTTTGATGATTTTATTTCGACGATGCTTTAACTTGAGCTATTTTTTCCACAAATGTTCGAGAAGAAGTAAATCTATATCAATGGAAAGGCGAGAAGACAAGCTACATTTTGATTACTAAAACTTTCTAAAAGTAAAATGTCTATGAAGTGAAATGTTTATTTTATCGCAGACAACTGAACATGTTTATCTGAAGTCTTTATCACTTTTATATGACGAGTTATTTTTCTTTCCAAATATTGCATTTGAACGAGTGTCAGACGCTGCATAAGATAGTCGACTATTTAAATTTTGATAAAAAAACGTTTGGAGTTTTGAGAGATGCTTTTCTGAGAAAATTGCAGCATCTGACACTCATTCAAATGCAATATTTGGAAAGAAAAATAACTCGTCATATAAAAGTGATAAAGACTTCAGATAAACATGTTCAGTTGTCTGTGATAAAATAAACATTTCACTTCATAGACATTTTACTTTTAGAAAATTTTAGTAATCAAAATGTAGCTTGTCTTTTCGCCTTTCCTTTGATATAGATTTACTTCTTCTCAAACATTTGTGGAAAAATAACTCAAGTTAAAGCATCGTCGAAATAAAATCATCAAACAGAAAGTGACATCTGCTCACTGTTATTTGTTCAGTTCCATGATAACTCAATATTTAGGAGTGAAATTTTCTGTGAATATGATACAGACGATGCATTGTTCAAAAAATTTTGTCAAGTACTGTATATATATATGCTTTATTTCTCTTCTCATGTGAGGATATATCTGTATGTGTGTCTGTGCGGACATTTTTTCTGATTTTGAAATAAAGAAAGAAAAGGTCCAATATCAAACCTCTAATAGGGTGGTTATAATATTTTGTTCGAATAAAAAGCTACTAAAAACAATGTATTACACTAATAAATAGGATTGAAATATTCTGTAGTATTGTTGTTTGGATTTTTTGTTGTTCAAAATGAGACTCTACACTGTAAAAAAAATAGGTGTTCTACCAAACTTTGAAGGTTTCGCAATGGTTTTCGAAACCATTTTACGTTCTGTGGGATGAAAAAGGTTTCGTAGGCTTCATACTGAACCTTTTTAAGTTACGAAAACCGAAGAAGGTTTCGAAGTTTCACGACGAAACCCTCCTAGAGTTTCGCGCACTGTGTACTGAACTTCCGGAGGTTTCGTATGTTTCGTACGAAACCGTTGACAGTTTTGTAGAGC